TGTGTGGTAGTTTGCAATTTGCATACCTACACACCTCTCTTTTGCCATACATAAACATTAAAAATAAATAAACATTTTAATGTACATTTCGCAATAATTTAAGTTAATTATTAATACCAGTTTTCCGATGGAATGTGAAAATGTTTATTGGTAAAAATCAATTATTTTAATATAAAATTATTATTGCAAATATTCTAATTAAAAAGTTGAAAAGAAATAAATAACATCAAAACATAACCTCGCAACGAAATGGCACATAATTTAAAAAAAAAAAGAAACTTTACTTATCTGGTACTCACCCTAAACTCCAAAGTTTACCATTCAAATCACCATCCATGAAGTCATTTCACTCATTTCTTAATTGTTTTTGTTTTTCTTCAAAAAATAACCCACACAAAAATCACCCAGCAGTACAGTTTAGCTAAAACTTGGCTGGCTGTCGCCTCTACACCTTACTACACCTGTTCACGGATTTTATTTACCCGCCGATAGTTTTGTAATGGAAATGAAAAATCACATTCAAATGAGAGGAAAAAGCGAATCGCTTTAATTCCACTGTAAACGACTATCAATTCATGCTGTCAACAGATGACGCTAGTAGGAAAAATCTGCTTGTGTGCTGTAGAAATTGTCAATGAGAACCGTTGTGCTAGATGGAACTAACGATGGAACCTTGCAAGAACTGTGCTAGATGACTCTAGTGAAATTAGTCTTTTATAGAAAAAAAAATAGATGGCACTAGTAGTATTATTGGTTGGAGCAACAAATATTCCCGCTCCGAAAAATTAAGCAACGACAGTTACTGTACTTACTCTAAAAATCTGCTTTTCCGAGCGGGAACTCTTTTGGAGTGAGCTCAATTTACTCGACCAGTCATACCTTGCGTTCGGTATTTTGCTCGAAGAGCAGAGCGTGCTGAGTGGAGCCGTAATCACGTGACCAGCGAGGGAACAGAGCAGTTGAACGCTATATAAAAGTGCCAGAAATTTTAATAAACGAACGCGAATGAGGCTGCACCGAGTACACTTTTTAAATACACGAACGGAAAGTCATGCTCGGAGAACTCAGACCAAAATAACGAACGCACGTATAGCCGAACTTGGACGTAGGTACTCTATTTACGCCCCGAATGGTGTAGAGACGTTGGGACACCGTTTACTCGGTAATAAAAAGGATGGTGTATTTGGTGTCACACTGACGATTACACCTTCATCACGTGATGTAACACTGCACTACACGAACACCGCACTAAAATCCCATTCCGAATTCAGAGTGTACGAAGTGTTTCAGCCGAATCAGAACCGCTTTCGGGTGCCATAGTTTGAGCACTCAGAGTAACTCCGAAGTACTTCGTTCGCCCTTTGGCCCGTTCGTCTGTGCAGATTTCGCGCTCCGAATTCGATACCCATCCTCAATGCTATCAATTTTGAACAGCTCCGGGGCGTTACGCACTCCTTTCGAAAAGTGTTTGTTGCACCTGAAGTGCTCAAGCCCGATCAAACCATTTGAAAGGCAGCGCATCTGTTCCTTTCAAATCGGGGTCGACTAACACCGGAGCAAGAAGCTCTAGTTAGTGGTGGGAAAATATCGAATTCAAAAACTATCGATAGTTTGATATTAGTGGTTGATTAACTATCGATATATCGATAGTACTATCGGTTTAAAAATATAACCTAGAACTGAAATGAAAATTGAAGATTCAATAGTATTTGTACAAAAATAATTATTTAACTACAACGCTTTAAGAAAGCAACCATTTATTTTGATTAAACAACATATTTATATTTTTAGATTTAAGTTTGGTTCTTTTAACTGTCAAAATCAGGGATGTGCGTCTACACGTAGACTTTCATTGTCTACTTTACGTGTAGACAATGTAGACAACGCGTCAACAATGTAAAATAATATAAATGACGTTTAATTCTAACCTCACACTTTCCTTTTCGAAAATTATTTTTATTTTATTATCGGTTTTCCTCATATTTATGAATGAAGTGAATGCTAATATCAAAGTGATAGGTATAAGCTACTTAGGTAGTAGTAATTTTGGAACTTTTTTTAAAATTTTCTAAAATAAGTTTATTGTTTACGTCACATGGAGACAAATGTGTAGACAAATGCCCACGTAAACAATTCGAATTGTCTACACGTAGACAATCAATTGTTTACGTTGACATTGTCTACAGGCACATCACTGGTCAAAATATTACCAGCCTTCGAGAATAACTTTTCCGAAATGGAAGCGCCCCCCTACGTCAGCCATCTTTCACTCCGTCACTCCTGTCAGAATTCAGCATCAGCTGTTGACCTGTCACCATTCCAGGTCAGTAAGCGCATTCCTTTATTCACCGATGGCTCCATCGATGACCTGTCTATCTTTGTCTAGTTCATAGAAAATCGGAATGGCTGTCTCATAATGCTTTCAACAGATGGATCCATCGATGAATAGAAGAATTCGCCCAGTGTTACCATTACCAATTTAATAATACAAAATTCGATAGTCTAGGGAAAATTATCGATACTCCGATATTTTTAATTCCGCAACGAGCTATCGATATATCGATATTTTCATTCGATAGTTTCCCACCTCTAGCTCTAGTGTTCTAAACTCTTGGAAGGAATACAACTATTGAGGATCGCACAGCAATCACAAACCAATCAGAGCGAATTTCATTGGTTGAAACCAGTCAGAAAACTAGTTTCAACACCTCAATGGTATGTTTCAACCCAAGGCTATTGTTTGAGAGAGGTAGGTTGCCTGATAACTTTATGACGTCATCTAGGGTACCGCAACATAATGCAAATCTCTATAAGGCACTCCAGATGCGTCATCAGGTAACCCATTACCGCAACCTATTAACTTTAGGAACCTTGGTTTCAACCAATGAAATTTACTCTGGTTTGTGATTTCTTTGCGAACAGACACCTATGGCCATTTGCACTGACCATTTTAATATTGCAAAATGTTGGTTTTTCACCTGACAATCTGGCATTGTGAAACCGTATCTAGATTTTCCTTAGAATTCGAAATTGCAATGTACAGGTTGATACTTTTTTGTTCGAATCTGTTCGAGTTCGCATTAGAGTGCAGCTTGGCTTAGTGCAGCCAATCGAAACCCCTGTTAGGATTTTATACACTTTATGCATTTAGAATTGAATTTTTGTTTTAAATTTAGATTTTTAGTTTGTGCTTCTCCACAACCTTCTTCACTCAAGTTGTTCCATTAACTTTTACAAATGGAACAATCACATCAATTTTCCGTTTTTTTGGAAAAAACTCCTTTTTTTAAACTTTTCTTTCTTTATTAAGCTCCTCGTAGGCTCAGAATTTTATTCCGAATGCATATTTTAAAATATATACAGAGTGTCCACCAGAAAGGTTACATAACCATGACATCTGAACACATACTACTGTTTCCACTGAAATCACAAACCAGTCAGAGCGTTTATGATTGGTCCAAATCCGCAACAATAACCAATTTCCAGACTATTTTCAACCAATGAAATTCGCTCCGACTGGTTTGTGATTTCTGTGACCCATAGACACCGCATCTCATTCATAAATGATGCTTGTTGTGATGACAAGACAGACCCCTCCATGGGCCAGGAGAGGTGCGCTGCTCGAGGGGGGTCATGGTGGGGATGCATCAGAGGTGTGATTTCAATGATTAAATTTCGATAGGTTTATCTCGAAAAAATAACATTCGTTTTTGAAATAAGAAACAATGTGTAAGAAAAGGATTTTACATCTATAAGGAAGATGAGAAAGGTCTCTTTCTTAAACAATCTTTATGACAAAAAAAAAATAATTATTTTTCTCGAAAACTGTCAAGAATAGCTCATCAAATAAGTGATTAATATACAGGGTGTCTCATTTGAAAAAATGTATATTTAGTTTATTTTAAAAATTATCACTTCTGTAGCGAAACTGACTACACCACTGGGATCTACGTAGAAAGATCTATAAGAACCCGTTGTTACCTTTTCAATCACTTGTGAGGGAGCCGGAGCCGAGATAAATACAAAGGGTGTCCCAAAATGCAACATTTTCAAAAACACATTGTGCATCCTCGTAACTCCAATAATAACCCAGTTATCCCTTATGGACACTCAAAATGGGACACCATGTACTGTAATATCATCTACAGAGATGTCCGGAATAACATAAGTACATGGGGATTTTGGAAATCATTGAAGAATAAGATATAGGGTGGACCAAATGGGGGAAAAGTTGCGCAATCAAGCGCCCACAAATAATCTGTCATCAACTTCTTTGAACTTTGAATAGTAACAGATATACAGGGTGAAAAAGAAAAAAGTGCGTTTTACGAAATCCTTTATGTCTTGTTAATTATAAAAGATACAATCAAGAAATTTTCAGGGTAGGACTGGATGTAATGTACAGTACAAGGATTTTAAAAACGCACCTTTTTCTTTTATGCCCTGTATATCTGTTGCTATTCCGAGTTCAAATAAATTAAAACAGAAACAACAGCAAAAGTTCTGTTAAAAATTCTGCCACACCATGGTTACTCATTTTTGTAAATGTTTCGTTGTGTTGCTACAAGAGTAACGGTGAGTCTACACCAGCAGTGTGTTTCTAGTTTCGGAACAATTGTGGTGCGACGACGATTACACTCACGCAATGTCTAAGTTTTGAGTTTTGGGAACCAGTAACAATGTGTCCACACTGATAAAAATTAAATTAAATACAAAATGATTACCAAAGTTTCTATATTTCCTTTGTTATTTGTCACTAAATATGGAAACAAGAAACTTATAGGAACTTTAATTGTTGCGACCCTAAACAATAAGCAACTTTTGGAAACATACAGAAACAAGTTCCAGGAATAAGCAACATAAACACAATGTTCCTATATGTTGCTTTCGGTGTGGACGTAACCTAATGTTCAGTTCTATGGGATTTACCACTTAATTGGAGAACTTCCCTGAATCAAATCAAATAAAATTAAAAGTTACGAAACAAATAAAAAAATAATTTCAGCTGAAAAATCACAATAAACATTTATTAATTTCACATCTCTAATAATAAATCATAATATTATAAAGATAAATAATATTGCAACAAAGAAACTACTAGCTAAAAAAAAATCAAATACACATAATTTTCATCAATTTTATCACCCACACATGCACTGCAGTTTGACTGCTTTCATTTTCCAAACAACTCGCTTATTACTCAAACAGTTCCCACTTAATTTTACTCCAAACATTTCTTGAAATTATTTTAAAAATAAAAACAAGATCAACTTTGCCCCACAAAAGTAAAAATAAAATTTGTCAAAGGCAAAAAAAAACCTACCTTTCATTCCCACCCGTATCACAAAAAAAAAATAATTAAAATATGTATAATACATTCATTACAATAAATAAAAAATATAATGTCTAAATAGTTGATTACTTCATGGAAGTATATTTTTTTGTTAACATTGGAAACCAACCCAAAATGTAATTTTGAAGCAAGTAAATACATTAACGGATTCCAGTATACAAACTAAGCACGCTCCTGGTCTCCTTTTGAGATCGAGCTTTGCTGAATACGTTCCAAAAACGTAAAGTTTCGTCTCCTGCTCCAGTTACAATAGCTTCACCATCAGGGCTCAGCGCCAAGTACAAAACTCTATACGAGTGTCCTGTGAGTTTAGCCACTTGCGTTAAACTTGGATATTTCCAGACGAGTATTTGGTTTTGTGAGTAACCATGAGTCGAGACCAATTCTGAACTATGCTTGGACCATGCCAGGTTACACACTTGAGATCCTAAATGAAATGTTTAAATGATGATTTACATTTGATGTACATACATACCTGTATCAACACACTGCATCGGTTGTCCAGTCAAAGTATTCCAAAACCGGATACATCTGTCGGCGGTTCCGCCTCCGGAAGCCAGCAGGCCATGATGATGGGGAGACCAAGCGATAGCTTTGACAGCTGCTAAATGATCGGTGTAAGTTTGAACGGGCGATAGAGACTGCATGTTCCAGACATAGAGTCTATTGTCGTTACCGCCCGATGCCAAATACTGATTATCCGGAGACCATTTGAGACCGCACACCTCTTGTCTATGGCCTATGAGTGTTCTTTCTGTTACGTTTTCTGCAAAAAATTTAAGTATAGCAATCAAGATTTTTAAGGCAAGTTTCAGCTTCTTGGAACAAAAAGTTGATATCTAACAAATTCTTACGTGGTGTTCTGGTATCCCGCTGCAAAATCATCCTGTCTCTACTACCCGAACTCAAAACGTCTCCGTTCCAAGCCAGGGCTCCGACTCTGGCCGAATGTCCAACCAATTTATTGACTTGTTTATTGACCGCCACATCCCAAATTGTTACGTAGCCATTGTGAGTTCCTACAGCCACCTGGTTACCTCTTTCACTCCACGAAACCGAGGTTACCACATTGCCGTCACTTGACAGGTCACAAAGTCTGGTTACTTGACTAGTGCACGCGCTCCAAAGGTAGACGCAGCTTCCCAGACCTACGCTGAGAACGTTTTGTACGGACCAATCGACCAGGTTTAGGTAGAAGTCGTCTTGGAGTTCTGGTGCGTCCAAAACCTGGAGAATTATTAAAAAAATAGGGTTTAGGTTATAAAAAATAAAAATAAAACTGCTTACCTTAAATGGTATTCTAGAAATTTTTCTTGTAGCTTTATGGGGAGATCGTAACAGTCTTTGACTAGCTGTGCTCAATGGCGATAGGGAATAGGGGCTGGCCTGGCATTTCATTGGGGTTCTGTCATTTTGGTATGAGTTTTTCTGCAATAAAAAAAATGTTGGTTGGTTCAAACTTCAAAGTGATACTTTGGTTGGATATTGAATGAATTTGATATTTATCAAAGAATATTTATTCTCTTCTTTATTGGTATGATTTCGTTCCTTATTTTTTTTTTACATCTACCAGACCTCCGCTCCTCGCTCCGCTCATAATTTCCTCCAATGTACTTTCTTATAATTACATATTCTTTATCTTATGTTTTTTTTTGTACTCTTTGTAAATATTTGTCTTTTTTTGCATAATTTCCAAGAGAAAATCTCCCATTAAAATCTCATCAGGCTCAATTTTGGAACACTGATGCATAACTAATCAAAAAACCAATTAAGAAGGGCTCAAACCCTCATCAGCAATTTACTAGACTCAACTATGTAAACAACGCCCTAACGGTACCAGCTATCAAGATACGACGTACAGTGAACCACAAAGGGTACTACAACCCATCGTGCTCATTAAAGTGTTACACAATAATAATTCTTGTGTACAGCGGAGGGCTCCATGCATATTCAATTTTTTTTTCTTGTTCATCGAGACGTTTTGTTGCCAATTAGGGGTCAATGGTTTGTTGGTCACTCACCATTAAATGGTAATTTGAAAAATGTTACCCAGAAAAATTAGCCCTTTCAACATACTTTGTAAATGTTCAGAGTAGATCAGATTCTATTCAAATTAATGGAATTTTTTGAGTTTAACTGATTGATTCTGGGCACTTCTTTGGGAATATCAGCTTTAGAAACATTGAAAAATTGTGATTTTTTTCTAACATCTTTATTTTCTTTTGAACCTTCATATGGGATATATTTCTGATAAGATTTTATAAATCATGACACAAGGAATTATATTGAAATAACATGAAACCTTCCCCTACCTACATCTATAAAAATTTCGATATGAAATGTCCCTGAATGCGTGGATCAGTTTCAAAGACAATAAATGTTTGCAAATACATAAAACTAAAATCCCGTTAAAATATGGACGGGCAATTACCCAGAAAGGCACGTGCCTACGAACCCGAGATTCATAATAAACCACACACAGGGTTATTGACGATAAAAATACCTAAAGCTCGGGAGAAAAAAAAAAAAGAAAAACCAACAGGCACGCTATTTTTCTCTGAATCAATTACAATAAGTAATAAAAGCAAAAGGCGACGGGTGGTGCACGTACTAGAAATAATAACAAATACGATTGCATGTTTGCACCTTTTCAATTTAGAAATGAAAATAATATGCAGCTTTTCTTTTTAGCAATGTAATATGAAACTTGAGGAATGTAAAACCAAAATACTTAAGAATTCATATCAGCGCCCTAACTATCTAAAATAAAAAATGGCATATCCGTTTAGGAAGCGGAAAAAGTTCAGTTACCTCATACATAACTAAATTTGGTCTGCTAATTTGCATTAGAAATTTTGTGCCGTATAGACTTCCAACCCTTTACCTATAATCTTCACTCGTTAATTTCAGCTTCAAGGATTAGTCTATAGAGAGTAATTATTGTCATGTTAATAAGGTACTGTTAATTAATTGTTGAAGATACACAACCTTGGTTTAGTTTTTAACACAGTTTGACCGTCATGGGGGCATACTTGAAAAAATGATAATACGGTTTTGCTATTTTTTTAATTTTATCATTTGAATTTTTTTAATTAGTTTATTTGCCAGTTTACATGGTCTATAGAAGGAAGTTTGTCTTGTTTTTTGGGTTAATGAAGGTCAGAATTTACCCAATAGGGACTTCTAAAACCATAATTGAGGTTCTAATACATAATAATATACAATTGTATTGATAAGATATTTGAAATTCTAACAAAAATAAAACTGTCTAACAGTCGTATTATAAGTGTTGGGCATTAGCAATTCAAATTTGAATTATTCCAATTGCGGTTTTTACCGTGTTCAAAGTACATGAAACCATCTATCTAAATAAGTCATTTTTTGACTTGACCGGCACGCAGTAATGCACACTAGGACAATAAATATTATTTCAACAATAATTATTATTAATATTAATGAGATTTCTAGGTCATTGCTATCCATTTATGTTGATAAGGCCTAATAGACTATTCATGCGCTAGACGCATACATTAAGGTTGCAGTTGGTTTTAACCTTTTTGATAAACTATAGAAAATATATATGTATTATGTATTATTTTCTTCAAATGGATTTTTTAGCTCTATGCATTGAATAATGGATAGTTTTTATATTTGTCAGGAAAATTGGAAAATTTATTCCACATTGTTTAATGCGATTGACTGAAACTATAAGTCCAAATGAGCTGAAATTTTCAGGGATTGTAGTAGTCCACTAGAATAAGAATTGCTGAAAATTTCAGTTTTTTCAAATCCCATGTAAATTTTCAGTAGAAATATTACCCAGTAAGTAATCATCAAAATTTGAACGAAGTATTCCCAGCTCTTGATTTCTTCTGCAAAAAGTTTTCTTGTGATTTAATAACCATAATTTTAACTAGAAAAATATTCCATTCGGTGATAATGGTGATCTGAACCCTTCTTGGTTCTTGATCTTCTTCAGAGAAATTCTGTCTATAGTTCGCCTTACGAGTCTAGCACTACAACGTCTGAAGGGCAAGGGGGAATAACGCCATTCATTTCGAGCTTTATGCTGCCTGTCATAGGCGTGCGCGCAGCGTTTTTAAATATTACTTTTTCCTTATAAATGTAGGTGTGTAACATAGATAAATATTAAGGTATTTTCTATTGGAAGTCAAATAGACAATGTTGCAATTTTTTTATCCGCATTCTTTCCATAGTGCTAAACTCGTAAGGCGAACTTTAATGATTCAGAAGCCAGTAATCATCAAAATCAAAGTTTGAACTATTCCCGGCTGTTGATTTCCTCTGCAAAAAGTTTTCCAGTGATGCAAGAGCCGGTAATAATCATAATTGTAACTAGAAAAATATTCCACCCAGTGATAATTGTAATCTGAACCCTTCTTGGTTCTTGATCTCCTTCAGAGAAATTCTCTAATGATTCAAAAGCCAGTAATCATCAAAATTTGAACTATTCCCGGCACTTGATTTCATCTGCAAAAATTTTTCTTGTGATTTAGGAGCCGGTAATAATCATAGTTTTGACTAGAAAGATTTTCTGGGCGGTTATAATCGTATTCTGAACCCTTATTGGCTCTTTATTTCCTTCAGAAAAATTTTTTTATCATTGAGAAGCCAGTAATCATCAAAATTTGAACTATTCCTGAGAAAATGTATGAATTTTTTCTCTGACAACGAAATTTTTAAAAAGACCCTCGCCCTACGGGCTCGAGATTTTTTCTAAGTTATTTTAAGATTTGAAAACGAAATTTTTAACAAAAAAAACTAGTGGGGAAACTATTATTCTAGAAGTTTTCTGTTGGAAATTTCTATGAATAATGGGATGAAGAAAACAGTCAAGAATAGACTAGAAAATATTCGCCTCTGTCAAGTTTTACAAATTTATTTCTTCATTTTCCAAGTGATTATCCTAGACATTTTCTATTCAGTATGTTCCTTAATTAAACATTTCAAAATAATTTTTCCATACAATAATACCTAAATAAAACTATTAATGAACAAACCAGAACTGAAATGAAGCATAAAACCAGATGTTGAATAATTATTATAAATTAAAAAGCGAAAATAAATTCACTTTTTACATTACATCAGCTGGTTCTGAATCTTCACACAGCTGATGGTACCTACTAACTAGACGTGGGCTTGTTCCGTGTCCATTCACCAAAAAATTTATTCAATGGGCATTGCCAATTTAAGCCGGTTACATATGGCCTGTCTCGCCATTTATCTAATAATAGCAACTTGGTTTCCGGAATATTTTTCTTTGTCACTGGATGATTTTTAATAACATGTAGTTACATATTGATTTTCGTAACAAAATTCTAAATTTAGGCCAAAGATTCAGGTCATAGTTTATCGTGATATATGCGCTTTTTTGTCACATTTGGACGAAAATATTTACACCAATTAATGCAATCGCATTAATTACCAAATTAATCAACACACACACGATGATTAGCTGCTAATTAGATTGATGTCCAGTTTTATCGAACCAATAAAAAACCGATGACCCTTGAAAAGCAAATGACCCCAGATTCCACTGGCGTGTCGGGCAAAATTTTATGCAAATTTGCAAAATGGATGTAATTAAAACCATCTTCCTCTAAATTGTTTATATTTAGGAAGAATTTGAGCTGGTAAATTGTATGTATTGCAATAATTACGCGGGGTCATTTAGAAATAATCCTAGAGCAAACTTTCGATTTTTTGACTCACATTCTCAGAAAATTTTATAGAAATAATATGTATGATGGAAGAAAGACACCACCTTCCTTGATAAATATTTACTCTTACGATTTTGTTAAAATAAAGATTAGAGTGGAACATGGTGCACGGTTATTTTTCGCTAATTTATTAAGACCTTATCGCTGAAATTCAATATTTACTCAAAAACACTATCAGGGACTGATAAGACTGTGTAATTTATCAAACAAGTGCATGTGTGCTAAAAATTTTGAAAATACATACATTTTTAGGCCAAGAATTATTTTAGTCTCATATTGATAATATAAAATTTAGAAAATCTATAACGCTGACATCAAAAAAGTACAAAACTCTATAAGATTGTTTTACAAATACCACTACAATGATTAATAAGTAAATAAAAATTTAATATGTGGTAAGATAAACTGATAAACAATACTGATGGCATGAATAATAAAACATTGATTGTTGTTCCCAAAGTTTTAATTCGTCATCAAAAAAATTGTCACTGCAAATTCTTTTACATGCATTAGTTATGTAAATGATTTTTTTTTGAAAACTGAACCGTACATTTTTCAAATTTCCCATGAAATGTAACTGAAATAATAGCCGATTTTGCTTACTAGGGACCTAGTAGTGTATTTGCTTAAGTCATTTATATTAATGGCGAAAATGTGATAATGAGGTGGTCGAACCGCACAAAAAAA